AAATAATTTTTATTCAATTAGTTTTTACTTTTTTCCCATATTTTCTATTATCTTTATTTTCTCTATTTGTTTCTTTATTGTATTTATTAAAAATAATTATCTTTTTTATTTAAAGAGTTTAATAAAACTCAACTATTGAAAGTAAAAAAATAAATTATTAAGATTTGATATAAATATGATGTGTAAAATTTGAGTGTAAATAGATATGGTAGATAAATTTTAATGTCATCATTAGTCACATTTTTTTAAAAGTTTATGAATCCATTTAAAACATTAGTAATTTTCTTTCTTTGTGTTTACTTATAAAAATGGGTTCAGCTTTTACCTCTCAAGAGTAAGGAGATTACATTGAATTTTTTTTCCCATTTTTGGATCTTAGATTACATTGAATCTTAATTGTAGAGAAAGTTAATAATATGTGAATATAATTTTGAACCTCAAAGTAAAATACTTCATTAAATATGTAGAAATATCATTACAAGTTATATATAGAAGTTGATTAACTACATTAGAATTTTACAATATAATGATCATATTTTAGTTCTATGTTTAATTTTACAATATAATGTCATGAAACTAGAGTGTTTATTTTTATTTTTATTTTTATTTTTTGTGAAATAGGTTCAATTATATTTTAATTTGTATCAAGTGTTGTAATATTTAACAGATATACAAGTATACCTATAAGTATACTTGCACCTAGCAGGTTAGGTAATAGATATAGATTTTTAATATCTAAATAAGTAATAGGTATTAAAATCTTTTACCTATCACTATTCAAGTCAAGTATAAGTATGAATAAATACTTGTTAGGGTAGGGGATTGATGAGTTAGCAGTGATGATGATGTGGAAGTTGATTAGGATGCCTTTTATGGGAGATGAGGAGGGTCTTTTTGGCTTATACCAATTTCACATGCGAGAGGCTATGTGCCACGAGCCATCTTCTTTTGTCCAACAAAGATGGTTTGTATCGAGTTCTCTAGCAAAGTTTGAAAGTGTAACTTCCCCCAACCAAGTTAGGAAAGCTTGGTAGTAATGGCAAAGTTTCAAGAGCCAAGAATGATTACACAACTAGTAAAAATAATGAAGAGGAGATATACATTATAATAAAAGCAGCAAGGATAAAAAATATATAAAGATCAAATGTTACAACTTGAGAAGCACATTCACATAAAATACATTATAGAATAATAGTAAATATAGTAGATGTACCCTCTACTATTCTTAACAAACTCTCTCACTCTAAAATGGGCAACTCTCATGTTATGGTTAAAAACGCAAAAATCTTCTTCAAGTTTCCACAAAACAAAGAAGAATAAACTTGAAACTAGTGATGGGAGAAAGAAGGATAATCGTTGTGGGGGCTTTTGAATTAATGAAGGACTTGATCCCATGTTTCGATGTCAACTTTGCTAGTTGATCCTTTGATGCTCAAGAAAGACAACCTAGAATCTTAAACTGTAGCATGAAATCCCCCAACCATGATGTGTTGCAAGTTTGGAGTGTATTTTGTATGCTTGGAATTATAGAAAATAGGAGAAAAATGAAGATTTTAAAGAAATTTTTATAGGAGAAATGAGAGGTTGATGATGAAGATTTCTTTAGAGGAAAAATGGTGTTTTCTACATGAAAAATCTACTCTCTTGGTTATGTGACTGAATGATCTCTAAAAAATGAAGGAAAAAAAAATATATATATATATGTAGTGATATTTTGGTAATTTTGAGTTGGTGGGGCCAAAGTAGCCCCACCATCTAGTGATTAGATTTGGGTCGGGTGAGGATAGTTGTCAAGTTTTGGATGGATATGAGCACTCCTGATAGCCTTTAGAGTGTGATAATGAATTGTCCAACCTTTCCAACGGAGGACTATTGGTTCATTGGAGATTTTTCAGTCTTGGTAAGTCTCTGTCTATTCGAAATACCATATTTGGCGTGCAATTGAACACTACCGGCAAAACCACCATTGTCTAAGATTTTCATGATTTTCCCAAGCAAAATATAGCCTTTTCACTAATAACTATAGTCCTTTCACTAATAACTTTAGTCCTTTCACTAATTTCCCATGTACTAAAACTTATGTAACCATCTATACATTAAACACAACTACAAGTTAGTGATGGAGACTCAAATAACATCTCTGGTTAATTTTTAATGGGGTTCCAAACCTTATAGTTAGCATCAAATGATGTAGTTTTGGGAGAGTTTTACCTCTACATGTTTGCTGCCTAACCTTTCTTAGCGAAGACAAGCAACATCGTCAACTCCAAGTTTGGCTGGTGTTAAAACCTTACTTCGCCAGGTGGGTAACATTCATCAATCCATGCATGCCAAGCCATTACTTCTATAGTTTATCCCAAATAATCCCCATAAACTTGGATTCATGGGTTTGTGTTCATCTATATCAAAGAGCGAAATATGAATGAGGATTTGTTCAAATGTATAAGTTTAAAATCTATAAATATGTGCAATAAAAAAAAAACACTCCCTTGTGTATTGAAAGGGATTAGGAGAATAAAAATTGTTGCCCCTCTTAATCCACTGGCCATAGGAGGCACTTGTTTAATATTGCTATACAAGGTTGGCGATGTACAAAGATAGATGATGAATGATATAGATATGTGTTGTAATATTGTTTTACTGAATCAAGCGTTGCTGGTCGACAATGCCTATTAAGACGTAAAAATATAGAAGAAATATGTAGTAAATTAGGATTATCGGCAATTGATAATTTTATCTTTTTATATAGAAAGAATAATGATGTGCATGACTACTGGCAATTTTAAATATCATTGGGTCAGCTAAGAGTAGCTTTCCCATAACTAGAGGGACAATAGTGGCTAGCTTTGCCCATGGCTAAAGCATGAACTATGTGGAATCAGAAGAATATTCCCCGCAATTTGCCAAGCCACAAAGGGGATAAATCTTGTCAATTTAGGAATCCAACATAGTGATGAATGTGATGAGAAATGGATGAAGTGTTGTCCATGGAAAAGGGATTACCAACCACATTCATGGCCTTCGATACGGACAAGGTATGATACCATAATAAATGATGGCCTTTCTTATCGTACTCGTACCATCAAAGGATGGTCCTCATTGTTTTTTGCTCATTAGGCACCACACCACTATGCATGGGTGACCACCAAAGAAGCGTTGCAGGCCACAACTTGATAGATTTTTATTGCTATAAGGTAACCATTTTAACCAATTGCAGGGTTACAACTATTACCAACCTAATGCTAATTGTATCAAATTGCACTAACTCTTTGTTTGTTTTTGGGAGCCAATAAAATAAAAGATGTATGGATCCAACTCTATTCGGTTTTGGGAGCTCGTGTAATGAAAATGTGTAGAAATATGTAGCCTTTTGCTCATTTCCAAAGGCTAAGTAAAATAGCAAGTTTGATCTTTTGTTCATTATTGGGAGCTGTATAGATGTAGGATTAATTTGTTGTCCATCAATGGAAATTAGTGATAAAAATATGTAGAATAAATGTTTGGCACTTTTGTTCATCATTGGGAGCTACATAAATATAATAAAATCAGCTTGTTGTCCATTGATGGGAGCAATGTATATATAATAAGATAGACTCTTTATCCATTGTTGGGAGCCAATTGTAGTGGCGAACATTACAGTAGAGATCATGATCATCGAAAAACATCTAGCCATGTCATGGAGTTAAATGCAGTCATATCTGACTATGTATATGAGAATAGTATTGAAGTAGATCATGTCTATAATATTTCCAACGAAATAGATGAACACTGCTTCTAGTAAAGTTGACTACATTGTGGTCATCAGCAAAAAATAAAATATA